ACACTCGAGGATAATTCGGGCTTTCTTTGGAGACCTGGTAATTTTTAGATTTTCAAAATTTTAGGTTTTTAAGTTTATGAAATTTCATGTGTGATATTTTCAAGTTTGTGAAGTGGTGGAGCTAAATATGCACGGATTCTTAAGTTTAGTTAGCTTTGAGAACTTGGATCTCTAAATTCGTAGGTCTGAGCATTAAGATCCCAAATTCCAGGATCCCCAAATTACAAAATCTTTAAATTCCAAGGTTTCCAAATTCCAATGTTCCCAATTTCCAAGCTCCCCAAATTCCAAGGTTCCCAAATTCCAAGGTCCCCAAATTCCAAGGTTCCAAAATTCCAAGGTCCCCTAATTCAAAAATTCCAAGGTCACCAAATTCCAAGGTCCCCAAATTCCAAGGTCCCCAAATTCCAAGGCTCCCAAATTCCAAGGTCTCCAAATTTCTCACGTCCCCAAATTCCAAGGTCCCCAAATTCCAAGGTCTCCAAATTCCAAGGTCCCCTAATTCCAAGCTCCCCAAATTCAAAGGTCCCCAATTTCCAAGGTCCCCAAATTCCAAGGTCCCCAAATTCCAAGCTCCATAAATTCCTGCATCCCCAAATTCCTCACGTCCCTAACTTTCTCACATTCTCAAATTCCAAGGTCCCTAAATACCTACGTCCCCAAATTCCAAGGTGCCCGAAATTCTCACATCCTCAAATTCTTGCATCCCCTAAATTGTCACATCCTCAAATTCTTGCATCCCCTAAATTCTCAAATCCTCAAATCCCGAAGTTCCCAAGTCCCCAAGTTCCCAAATCACTAAGTCCTCACATCACCAAGTCCCCAAATTCTGACTGCATCTACCAAACACATATATTACATCACGAAAGCAGTTTCGGTGGATTCGAATTTCCAACCCCTGAGACAACTTCAAATAATTAGGGGTATGCTGATAAGCGATCGATCGACGAGCGCTCGCAACGCAGATACATTGTAATTTATTGCGCTCCCGGACGGTCTGTAATTTCCCAAGACGAAGGCGGAAGCGAGTCGCGTAATGACGTACACGGTAACCGCTCGACGGTGAGTCGAAGTTTTTCGGTGCTTCTTCATGGGAATTCGTTAAGGTGTACCGTATTAACGACCCTTTAATCGCTCGGCTATACTTTGGTACAATGTATACTTGCTTCGACTGAGAATGACGGGGATAGAGGGGAAAGGAGGAGAAAAGACAAATTCTCGAGTCATTTTTTGTTCATTTTTAATGAGTCTAGGGTAAATATAGAAGGATTTGAGGAGGCTAGGAAATCCTTGTCCTAAGTAAATCGTAGGCAAAACCTAAGGAGAGTCTAGGAGGTAGAAGGGATATTCAGGGAGACTTAAGAAGACCCTAGATTCTGAGAAATTGTAAAAAAATCCTAAGGAAATATAAGAAAAATTCTGAGTACCCCAGGGAAATCCAAGAAAAATCTTAGAAGAATTCTAATGAAGTCTTGGGATAATTCCAGAGGATTCATACCCAGTAATCACAGTACAAGAACGAGTTGCGAATAAAAATTCATGGGATATTAACCCATCATAATTTCCAGCTCCCTCAAAGCCCCTGTCACAGGAAAATATCCGTTTACCAGAGAAAACACCAGAAACCTAAGAAATGCCATAACATTATTCAGCTCGGATACAAACTCGCCCATATTCAAGCGAAATCGCAAGAAGTAGACAACAAAATCTCTCGAAACATGAAAATAAATCCATCCCTAAGAACAGCAGTGTACAAAAGGAACCTCCAGAAACTTCATCGGTAGCCGTCCAGACAAATTGCCACATAAATCCAGGAAAAATCTGTTGGCAACGGAAGAAAAACCAGCAGCATTTTCCCAGCACGTGATTATCGTACGAATGCGTATCCGGCGTTGGTCTAGCCGGAAAAGGGGGAGCAGGATCGTCTGATGAAGAAGCGTAACGGGGTAGCAGACGTCTTCCAACGGACGCATTCTCGTCGATGTCTTCGTCGTCGTCGTCGTTGAAACACGGAGCAAAGAGTACCGTTCGATCTCGAGCACGTTACGGGCGTCATAAAATCGCATCGCTGCCCGGTATAGTTGCTCGATCGGGCCCCATTTCCAGACGCTGCAATCAACCACATTCTCCTCCCTCTGGCGTCTTCCTCGTCTTCGCTTTGCCTCGATACTCTATCCTTGCCTTCTTCTCCTTCTTCACCTTCCTCTTCCTCTTCTTATACTACAACGGTTCTCTATCCTTCTCGGAGCTCTGCGTAATGATGTCTTCTGGCAAAGGTTTCGAACCACGGCATCTACTGGGTGTTCGTTCAATTCCCACCTTTGGATTCTCAGATTCTAATGTTCGAGTGACTTTGATGTTCGATTTCTCAAGTTAGAAATTTTTCTTGTTTTATACTTTCAAGATGAAATTGGTTGTCTGTAGAGTGATGAAGGTGTAGATTTCTAAGTTCCTAAATTTCCTAGTTGCAAGGTGTTGTTATAATAAGATTGTCAGGGCGTTAGACTTCTAAATCTCTAGCTTTCTGAAGTCCTACACCACAAATCCATAGACTTCCTCTTCCCTTTCGAATCCTTAGATCTTCGTCTCCCTACACCTCCAAATCCTTAGGCTTCCGAATACCCACATATCCAAATCTCTATATCTCTAAATCACTCTACCTCCGAATACTTTCAAATTCCCAAATCTGCAAATTTCCAAACATCTACGTGCCCAGATCTCCAAATTCCCACATCCTCAAATTTCCAAACATCTACGTGCCCAGATCTCCAAACTCTCACATCCTCTAATTTCCAAATGTCCACGTACCCAGATCTCCAAATTCCCACATCCTCAAATTTCCAAATGCCCACGTACCCAGGTCCTAAAATCCTCTAATATCCAAATACCCACGTACCTAAAGTTTCCAAATTTCCAAATCCTCACGTACCAAAGTTTCCAAATTTCCAAATCCTCACGTACCCGAATCCCCAAGTCTTCAAATCCTCACGTACCCGAATCCCCAAGTTTCCAAATCCTCACATACCCGAATCCCCAAGTCTCCAAATCCTCACGTACCCGAGTCTCCAAGTCTTCAAATCCTCACGTACCCGAATCCCCAAGTTTCCAAATCCTCACGTACCCGAATCCCCAAGTCTCCAAATCCTCACGTACCCAACTCCTCAAGTCCCCAAATTCTCAAATCTCTAAATTCTCAAGTTTCTAAATCCTCAAGTCCCCAAGTCCTCAAGTGCCCAAATCCTCCAATCCCCAACTCCTCAAGTTCCCAAATCCTCAAGTCTCCAACTCCTCAATTCCCCAAATCCTCAAGTTCCCAAATCCTCAAGTCTCCAAATCCTCCATCACCAAATACCCAAACCCCTAAACAACCAATTCCCAAATCGTCCACGTCTCTAAACTCCCAAATCTCCGAAATCGTAATTTCTAGCGTCACCATCTCCTCAAATCCCCGAATCTAGAGCAACTTACCTCCTCAGCCCATAAATTCTTTCAGTAGAGAAATCAGTGAGTGAGCTACCTAAGGAAAGCTTACCGATAAGTTAGACGGGATCGCTAGTTATATAACACCCTGTATATCATCAGTATATATATTACAATGTTACAGAGTACACCTATACGGTTCTCTCGGCTCTCCCTTTGCGGACGGCCCCGTTTCGTCTTTTTCCTCTTCCTTTTTCTTTTCGTCTCTCCGTTCCTCTTCTTCTTCCTCTTCTTCTTCTTCTTCTTCCCTGGTTCTGTAACGGTGACGCGAGCTTTCCGTTACGCGAACCACCGTGTGCCGGTGTTGCAGCCTCAACAGCCGTTTCCCTTCCTCGATGGCTCCTCGTGCTCGTCTGTCGTTGCATTATGGATGCAACGGGTTAGCCGTGGCCGAATGAAAGAAGCCGACTTGGCCAAACGTGTCTCTTGCCACCGAGAAGAGAACCGTATCGTCTCTCCTCTCGTACCTCGGTCATCTCTCGACTTCTCTCGTCTCTATTTGGCTACGAGGTCTCCGTTCGTTTCTCCTGCTCTTCTTCTTTTCTTGCTGGCCGCTGTACGCGCGACCGCTTCCATCGTGAGACGGTGCCGTTACGTCCACGCACGCGGTGCTCGTTTTTTGATCGTTAGAACGAAACGAGGCTACGGTGAACCGTGATCTCATCAGCCAGGCTAGAATCGAAGGATCCCGTGGAGGCTGATCAAGGGGGAACTCTGTTTATGGGGATTGCGATGATCCGTTGGAGAACACGGTAAATTGACGCTGCCACGAATTCGGCCCGTGTTAGATGCTGGTTAACGAATGTCTCGTTTGCCGTATTTGTACCGCGCTCGAGAACCATCACGCCGTTCAAACACGTATTGTTGCTGTATAGCGAACGAACGCAGATGGGAAAATTTGATCGATCGAATTACACGATCAATCAATGGTTTCTTCTTTCGTTTCCTTCTTAAATTATATTTTGAATTTAATTCTACTTTAAGAATAACTAGAACACTATTGATTATAAACTGATTTATGAGGAGGAAATTTTTTGGAAGAGTTTTAGCAGACGCATTGAGACCCGACTGTACCACAGACCCGAAAATAAATTCCTTGTCTCCAGTATGAAAAAATAAAATAAATTAAAATACCTAAATCTAATAATACATTTAATGAGACCACAAATAGAGATGAGCCTTCGAACACTCTATATGTCAATATCAAATTAGCATAATCAATATTCAGCACTAGTTGTAATGAGATTCCACTACGCAGCTCAAGTTCAAGCACTACTTTGCACAAAATTGTGTCTTTTCAAATTCCTCCGTTGAATATCTGAACAATGAAACATAAATAGCGTACAGATACAAATAATTATCGAGATCTAATTATATACATTTGCATCGTTGAACACAATGACTGTTGTTACGAGTTTCTCTGTAGTATAAAAGAACAAGAGTACTATTAAAGCAACGTTTACCTAATTCCTTGGATGACGATCACGTTACATAACGAAATTGCTTATTTCGTTTTCCAGAACAACACTACGCGGCAGCCGATTCGAACAGTTCGACGCCCGCGAAGAGTTTCGTGGCCTGTAGAGTTTGCGGCGATAAAGCGAGCGGTTACCACTACGGCGTGACCAGCTGCGAGGGCTGCAAAGTAAGTAGAAAATTGTTATACGTATTTTTTGAAACTTAAATTCTGTTAATTTTTGGTTTATATTGGCAGTAGGGTAGACTCTCATTATATTGCCGGAGGTGCAAGAATATAATAATTGAAGTTTATGATATATTAGATGGGGTGTTCAGTACAGAATTGTTAAGATATGAAACATTATGACGGGTTTGATATTTGTGCAATATATGGCGAGGTCAATGTTTAACTCGTGCAATATATGGCGAGGTCAATGTTCAACTCGTGCAATATATGGCGAGGCCAATGTTTAAGGCGTGGAGTATATGGCGAGTTAAATATTTAGCGCGTGCAATATATGGCGAGTTCAATATTTGACGTATGCAATATATGGCGAGTTAAATATTTGACGTATGCAATATATGGCGAGTTCAATATTTAACGTGTGGAATATATGGCGAGTTCAATATTTGACGTGTGCAATATATGACGAGTTCAATATTTAACGCGTGCAATATATGACGAGTTAAATATTTGACGTATGCAATATATGGCGAGTTCAATATTTAACGAGTGGAATATGTGGCGAATTCAATATTTGACGCATACAATATATATCGCGTTTAATATTTGACATGTGCAATATATAACGAGCTCAATACTTGATGTGTGCAATATATGGCGTGTGATAATACGACATATGGCAATACAGCGCGTGATAATATGGAAGATACAAAATATGGACTGCATAAGATACATCGTGCGCAAGATATGTCATATGTGAAATATAGTGCATTACAATAGCTCGCAACAATTTGGTATTTATCGACATAAAACGTGCCAATATACCACGTGGCAATATAACGAAATTCTCCATATATTCCCATCTCCTATTATATTCACAAATTTACAAAAAAGTAGCAATATACGACATTTCTTTCCTGTCACCAAAAAAGCTTTATTCTATTAAATTCTCCTAAAAAGAAAAGCCTTGGGACAATAATTATTTATAGCAAAGTTTGATAAAATTTGCTGAAATATCGTTCGAAACTTATCTCGAAAATACGGAACGCGAAAGACTGATCAAAGGAAGCAGCAAATTAATAGAGATATGCATCGTTTACAAGCGAACGCGAGAAATACTTTTGAAAGAACTTTCTACGTCAAGAGCCGTAATTATACGCCGTAAACTTTTCTTTATCTTGAAATACACGTCGTAGAAGATCCCCTTCGACGCATCAGTTACCGCGAGAAAGTTGGCTCCGCTGTTATAAATACAATATTTCTTTCTCATCGAGTTTGCACGTTGCAGGCTTCGGCTACTTTCGATCGCTCTCATCCTTCCGTTCCCCCGTTCCTCTTTCTATCAGATCCATCCTCTTCCTTTACAGCTTTTCTATTTTTCTTTCGTCCTTCCATTTGCATTCTACGCTCGATTTCCTCATCTGTCTCAATTTCCTGATGCTTCATCATTAATGGATCTCTTTTACCTTTCTTCTTATAATTTCCAGCCTTTTTCTCTTCCTACCGTTTTCGTGTGCTGACTCGTTTTATGCGGGGTGCTTTCTTTGCAATTGCTAGTTCTTGTTAAATGTTCTGCCAGGGCTGCAGGATTTGGGATTTGGGGATTTGGGGATTTGGTAAGGAAATTTAAAAATTTGGAAATTTGAGAAATTGGAAATTTGAGAATTTGGAAATTTGAGAATTTGGAAATTTGAGAATTTGGAAATTTGAGAATATGGAAATTTGAGAGTTTGGAATTTTGATAGTTTGGAATTTTGGGAATTTGGAAATTTGAGAATTTGGAAATTTGAGGGTTTGGAATTTTGAGAATTTTGAAATTTGAGGAATTGGAAATTTGAGAATTTGGAATTTTGAGAATTTGGAAATTTGAGGGATTGGAATTTTGAGAAATTGGAAATTTGAGAAATTGGAAATTTGAGAAATTGGAAATTTGAAAATTTGGAAATTTGAGAATTTGGAAATTTGAGGAGTTGGAAATTTGGGAAATTGGCAATTTAGGAATTTGAGACTTTAGGAATTTGGGACTAGAAAGACTTGAGATTTGGAAAATTTGACAACTCAGAAATTTAGAAATTGCAAAGTTTACAAAATTCCATTCCAGAATACCTAAATTTACAAATTCCCAAATATGATAAATTTTCCCATACAAAAAAATATCAAATGCCCCATATAATTTCACAGAATCTCTTATTCCTCCGAATCGTATAAAATTCGAAGTAAATCAACGTAATCGCGCACTATCCTTATTAAACCTTTACGTAGCCTCAGTTTCTCTCTCTCTCTAAAGAAGGAAGAATGCTCGCGTCGAAGAACGATCGACTTTCCAACATGTCGAGAGAGCGATAAATCGACACAAAGAGGTAAATTTATGGTCGAAGAGATAGGATGCCTATGATTGCTCGTATTTTATTAGACCTTACCAAGCTCGCCGGCTCCTCGGCAAAAAGCACCCTCGCCAAACGTGGATACAGAGATTTCAAATCCGCGATATTTTCACGCTTTTTGCTAACTGAAAGTCGAGACATTAAGTCTGCTACGTTTAAAGACTCAATCACAGTTTTATATTAATCAATTTCTTTTTTATTAGCTATAGCGCATATTCTATTTGATTGTGATAATAGAAGCTGATATTACTTTTTAATTTCTTTTACACAATTTCAATTTCTTTCTAACCTAACCTATATCTTTCGTATGATTCTATAGGCACTCGTTCAGGGTACTAAAATGAGGCTATTCAATTTCTTTTTTATTATCTTAAAAATTATTTTACCCCCCTAAAAAATGCACAGTCCACCAAAAAAAAAATCTAGGATTTTCCAAGTATCGTCCAGCAAACCAGTAGAGGGAAATAGCATGAAAAGAAGCGATTCGGTGAAATCGTTCGTTCGGTATTTCCCGGCGGAGCGCATCGTCCGTTGACGAAGTACACTCGTGGGGCCAAGTCTCGCGATGTGTACGTGCCTTAATCTTGTGCGAGATGCACATCCGCCGCCTGAGATTGAAACACGGAAGCCCTAAGGCCGCGGTTAACGGTGAATTGGTACATTCTCGCGTTCCAACCAACACGTGTAACCGATACACCTATAAATACGTGCATCCACCTTCGTACACATGCATGGAGCCTTTCCAATACCGCGAAATTAATTTCCCGGTTGGGATGTGTGTCCGTTTCTCTTCGTTCCCTCGCTTTTACGTGCGACTAACGTCAACTTTTCAGCAGCGCTTTACGCGGAATTGCTGATTGATAATTAAGGACGTTGATTTTAATAACTGGATTTAAAGTTCAGAGTTTATTGGAGGTTATCGTGGTTTTAGGTTGATGATAGGTTTGAATGATTTTATGAATGGTTAGGTTAGGTTAGGATACTAGAAAATAAATTATTTTTTATTATGGTTAATAATGGTTTACTATGGTTAGTAGAATATAATTATAGGGGAGATAATTTAGGACACTGAGAAATTGAATAGTTTCATTTGTGTTTGGTATCATTAATCGGTACGAATAAAGTCATACGAAAGATATAGGTTAGGGTAGTATAAAAGAAACTGAATAGTTGTATCTGTTTCTAAAACCTAAAAGACTTGAAAATCTACTCACAATTATTAATAATAATTCCAATAACAATGCAAAGTACCTGAAATCTCTCTCCAAACGAAAAAATCCTCGAATAGTCTGATGATTCGAGGACCACCACTACTGTACCACCAAAAATAATACTGTACCACCACATAAATCAATAACAAATAATTATTTCATTTTACACAACGCACGTTAATCGCTTCAAATACTCCTGTTTAATGCAGAGTATTTATAACGAATCATTGCACATGGTAGCGGATGTGCAATTAATGAGGAAACTCGCTTTATTTCGATTAACGCGATCAATGTACCATTTGCAAACCACTGAAAAGTACACATTTTTCCAGGAGTTCGGTAAAACGTGATCACCAATTAAATCAACCTCGAAATTGGTTCGCAAAGTTCTTGTAATAATATTGCCATAAACACGTTGAGAATATTAATTAATCAAAGTATCGATGCGCTTTCGCGCGATTCGCAAGCTGCACGAACAAATTAAACGCTACTCGAAAAGGTTTACCCTTTCATTTCGTTTCTAGTGGCTCGAAAACGACCTCTCATCCTTTATTATGTAGCGGAGCCAAAAAGTGTTCGATTCATTTAACTAATTACCAGCGTCGATACTTTTGGCTGGCTTGTTGAAAGTAATGGTACTTTGTTCATTTTTGGGGATGGGGGGGTGTAGATTCATTTTTGGGGGGTGTAAGTATTTGGGGAATTGGTGGGGAATTTTGGAAATGTAGGAATTTGGGAGGTTTGGAGATTTGGAGAGTTGGGGGGTT